GTGAAATCGAGTAACATCTTGTTAGACTCTGATTTTAATGCAAAAATAGCAGATTTTGGTCTAGCCAAGATGTTGGTCAAGCAAGGAGAACTTGCTACAATTGTTGCTGGCTCCATTGGCTACATTGCTCCAGGTAAACCTTGCACCCTACAAATGTTAGAGATCGTTCCTAAAGAAATATGTGTTAATTTTCCTCTGTTTCTATTAGCAGTCTCACAGGTTTTATTTTATTTTATTTTCACTTGAATGCAGAATGTGCTCATACAATACGAGTGAATGAGAAGATTGATGTATATAGTTTTGGGGTCGTCCTTCTGGAGTTGACCACCGGAAGGGAAGCTAATGATGGCGACGAACACACTGCTCTTGCCGAATGGGCATGGCGCCATGTTCAAGAAGACAATCCTCTTGCCGATGCTTTGGACAAGGACATCAAAGAACCTTGGTACTTGGATGAAATGTGCTCCGTTTTCAGACTCGGCATCTATTGCACCGAGAAACTTCCTTCTGCTAGGCCTTCCATGAAGGAGGTTCTGCAAATCTTGCTCCGATGCGGCCATCCAAGAGTTCACAGAGAAAAGACTGATTACGTTGGTGCTCCTCTGCTCAAGAATTTGAAGCGCGAGCAGATACTGGAAGACGGTGATGGTAGTTTGGCAACAAATGTTTGAAAGGCTTGGTTGAGTTCAACAAGAGGAATTAGAAGTAAATTTTGTTTAGTTTTTCACTTATGCCCATAGGTTATAAAAACAAAGCTTTAATTGATGATGGAATTTAGATCAAGGAAATAATGAAGGAAACATATTCTCTCCAACTGTTACTTGTAACTGAAATTTTGTGCATCTTCTTCTACGACAAAGAAAAGTTAAGTGTCAGGAGAACAACCCACCTACGCTATGCCCCTTGTTTTCCATTCAAAGGCATTTTGTCACAATCTGCAACTCTTCCTTCTGGTTGAATTTTGTTTTCATTTTTTTCCTTTCCTGTCTATATCAGTGAAAAACCAGACGTACCTGCCACTACTCTTGCCATTCATAATTTTCGAGTGAACATCCGGGACCAAAACTCTAAACTTTTGTTGGGTCAAAGTCTCCATTAAACAAAGGCGTTCTTTGTTCACACTTCACATTTTTCCATTGGCCTCCTTCCGGAAAGCTTCAATTGAAGTTTTTCCTTCTTGCCTTTCACGCACGTCGCATTTGGCTTTAGCCTGGCTTGTTTGATTACCTTACCTCATCTTCTGCAGACTTTTCTGGTGCAGTCTGGTCCATTATCAATGACCATGCCTTCAGTCCAACGATGGAGACTCAGAGAGGACCCCATGACAAACCAAGGACTGACAGAGAGGAGCTTTGCCGCCATATATTCATTTGCCACCGTTATAGCAAGAAGATTATCTTTTACTATATTAATCTTAGCCTTTCCAAACTGACCCAAGCCTTACGTAAAATGTCTTTTAACAGCACCGCGGTTCGGGGGCCTGTCTGCCATGGGAACGCCAATAAGAGCACTCAATTATATGAGATTTCAGCCCTAAACATTTGTTGGGTCAAAGTCTCCCATAAAAAGAAGAAAATTGCTTTCTAATAAGTCTTTATTCAACACTTATGTAGGGCAAGATAGCGCTCTTTGTTCACACTTCACATCCTACCATTATTGGCCTCATTCCTGGAAGTTTGTTTTTGTTTTTTTGTTTTTTGTTTTTGTTGTGGTCTGAGAGAAGGGGAAAACAGGAAAACGAAAAGGGAACAACACGAGGAAAGATGGAGGAAGAAAAGGAAAGGTAGCAGAGATGGAAGGTGGAAAAGAAATAGAAAAAGGTGTTAGAATGGAAAATAACAAACGAAGAAAAGTCTAAAAAAAGTAACATAAAGAGCATAAAAAGACAAGTGAAGGAACACAGAGGAACAGGATAAGGGAGGGGGGACAGGACTGGGCAAAATCGTAAGGAAGGAGAAATAACGGTGTTATGGCCGGACGGAAGAGGTGAGGGAAGAAGGAAGAAGACAAATACCACTTAACAGGGTATGGGGTTCTCATCTAAACAGAGAGAGAGAGAGAGAGAGAGAGAGAGCACTCAATTATATGAGATTTCAGCCCTAAACATTTGTTGGGTAAAAGTCTCCCATAAGTCCTTATAAGTCTTTATTTAACACTTATGTAGGGCAAGATAGCACTCTTTGTTCACACTTCACATCCTAATATTATTGGCCTCATTCCAGGAAACTTCAAGTCTTGCATGCTTGCCTTTCACGTCCGTCATGTTTGGCATTACCCTGACTTTGTTTTATTACCTTTACCCTATCTTCTGCAGATATTTGCGGTGCGGAGTGGTCCTAAATTATTACAAATTTCAATCGAAAATGGACAAGACAATTGATTTTATACTATAAATTTCTTGCACTAGTTTAAAGCTTTGGCAAGAAAGGAGGATCCTAGCTGCCAATTATAATAACTTGCAAAGCACATGCATGTGGTTTTGGTTCCTCATTCTTATCAATTTTAGTGCAATATTATACAAAATGACATACATATAATGTCAACTGGTTGTGCTCCCGATCTTTATCTCAGATCCTGGCTTTAAAAAAAATAAAGCCAACACCAAATTGGAAATAAAAGGTACATGAAACTTCTTTCTTGAGACCCACCCAGCCTCACCTGAGACCCATTCAGATCCTCTCTCTCTCTCTCTACAAATTCAAAAATTGAAAAAGAAAAAAAAAATCGAACACTTTGCATCTTGGGGTGGGTGGGGTTGCAGGAGATTGGGGTGGGTTGCAGGTTGGGTTGGGATCTGGGTTTTGAGAGGGTGGGATAAGGAGGAGGGGGAATGGGTTGCAGGAGAGAAGGAGACCTGAGAGAGAGCGAAAGAGAGACAGACAGAGAGGGATTTGAATTTCTATTTTTTATTTTTAAATTTATTTATTTATTTATTTATTTAATTATTTATTTGCACTTTTTTCTTCTTCTTTTTTCAATTTTTAAAATATAAAATATTTTAATTGAAATGGATGGTTTTAGCTAAGGCTGGGCAATTAAACCGCCAACCCGAAAAACCGAGCGAACCAAACCGATTGAGTTGATTTAGTCCGGTTATTTATTTATTAATTATTTAATATCGGCTTCAAACTGGACCGGACTGACGGGTTTACTAGAACCAAACCATTACTGTTGGCAAGCCAAATATTACAAAAATATTTTGCAACAAAGGGATTCGAACCCCACACCTCCATGTAAGAATCCTTCTTACTTTCCACTGGAGCAAACAACTTTCTTGTGTATTCTTTCAATAAGTATGATATATAATTAGTTACTCAAAATAATAAATATTAAAAAAAAAATGTGAGAGCATGCAAGTGGACATGATGCATGCACTGCATCTGCCGAAACCAATGTAGTTTTTCTTTCTTTTGTATTTTTTTATTCTTTTTATTCTCCCCATATCTCACTTTTCCCAACCCCTTCATTTTTTATTTGTTTCCCATCTTCTTCTTACTCTTTCCGTCACATCCCTGTCCATCCCTCTATCTCTCCCTCTCTCTTTTTTATTTCTATTTCCTTCTTCTTTTCCTCTCTCTTTCCTTTCTTCCTCCTCATTCCTCTGTCAGTCTCTGCAATTTTTTCCTCCTCCCATATCTCTCTCTTTTTTTCTATTTTTTTTCATGCTCTCTCTTCTTTCTAGTTTTCCATCGCTCTCTCTCCTCTTCCTCCTTCTCCTTCTTCTTCTTCCTTTCTCCCCTGTCTCAATCTCTCCCTCTATCTAATTTTTTCCTAGCTTTATTCTTGCTCTCTTCGGCCTAAACCCGAAATCGAACCGAACCAAATCAAACCACAAACTCCGGTTAACTGGAATGGTCGGTTTTTTTGGTTATAGTTCGGTGTATGGTTTCTAAAATTGCTAACCCGAAGCCTTCGATTCGGTGTTTGGGTTGAGCCCAAAACCGAACCAACCTAGACCGAGCCCAGGCCTAGTTTTAGCCTTCAAATTAACGGCCAAATTGACGGAAGGACTCAATTGAAACGGATGAGAGAGTTGGATGACCTAATTACCTCATAAAAAAGTTCGGGGACCCAATTGCAACTCGAGGTAAAATTCAGGACCTCTACAGTTAAAAACTAGGCGTGGGCACGGTCCGGTTTGGTCCGATTTGACCCTCAAACCACGGCCGAACCAATTACATTTTCACGGTCCGGTGTGGTTCGGTTTCACCTAAAATCAAAATGAAAATCAAACCAAACCAAACCATTCATAACCGGTTTGGTGCGGTTTGGTTCGGCCGGTTTAGGCATAAAACAACATGTCTTACAGTAACATGCAAATCTTGCCAAAGTAGAACAAAGTTAACATGCAAATCTTGCCAAAGTAGAACAAAGTTAACATGCAAATCTTGCCAAAGTAGAACAAAGTTAACATGCAAATCTTGCCAAAGTAGAACAAAGTTAACATGCAAATCTTGCCAAAGTAGAACAAAGTTAACATGCAAATCTTGCCAAAGTAGAACAAAGTTAACATGCAAATCTTGCCAAAGTAGAACAAAGTTAACATGCAAATCTTGCCAAAGTAGAACAAAGTTAACATGCAAATCTTGCCAAAGTAGAACAAAGTTAACATGCAAATCTTGCCAAAGTAGAACAAAGTTAACATGCAAATCTTGCCAAAGTAGAACAAAGTTAACATGCAAATCTTGCCAAAGTAGAACAAAGTTAACATGCAAATCTTGCCAAAGTAGAACAAAGTTAACATGCAAATCTTGCCAAAGTAGAACAAAGTTAACATGCAAATCTTGCCAAAGTAGAACAAAGTTAACATGCAAATCTTGCCAAAGTAGAACAAAGTTAACATGCAAATCTTGCCAAAGTAGAACAAAGTTAACATGAAAGTTAACCAAATTTCTAGTAAATCAAAGTAACATGAAAGTTAACCAAATTTCCAATAAAACAAAGTTCAACATACAATCCCACATTTGCATACAAATAGAAATAAGCTTCAATGGTTGCCGTATCGTTTTTTCTGTAAGAAATTTATCAGAGCCATGTGAGTGTTATGGCTCATTTTCTTAGACTCTAATGCTGCACTACATAGAGAATGTGAGCAACTACAAAGAGAGGAAAAGCTCTGGAAACCGGCATTGATTCACCATAGTTCTTGGAGCCACTGGCTGTTGTCAGGTCAATATGTGTTTGATTGCCAAAGTAAGTCTTCTTACAAGTGCTACATTGAAAATTAGACCCGGAAGCAGAGTTGCTGTAAATCCAAACAACAAAGCACACCACTCCCCAAATTAACAAAATCCCCAAATTAACAAAAAAAGAAAAGAGGGAAATAGCAAAAAGCAAGTCAAAATAAAACAATGCAACCCCAAGTAATTCAAAATAGAATTGGAATCACTTACACAGATAAGTTCGGATCACCGGAACTTGAAAATTGGTCGAAGCATATAGGACAAGCTAATGGCAGCAGCATAAATCTTTTCCTCAAACCTTACAGCAATTTTCTTGAGCTCCTGTAATCCCTCTTGACCAGAGAAAGGGAGATGCCTCTTCAATGTCTCCATTCTTTACATGCAACACAATCAATAAAATTTATTAACCACCATCAAAGCATGGCATGGAGGTACAGTTCTTAACAACAAAAGTAAATTCATGATAAATAATGTAATCCACTAAACTATTTCTTAAGAAGAATAAAAACACTTACGTCTTGTTGACAATTCTTTGCCTTGAATCTGGCCGCAATCGACTCCTCCAATTGTCTGTGTCCATTGCGGGCTCTCCATCTCCAGAAGGGCTCATTGAGGGCTCTCATCATCATCATCTCGGTAAATATCTCGTCTGCGTCAATGGAGGGTTCTCCATCTTCATAGGGGCTCTCACCATCATCATCATCATCAGCGTCCACCTTGTCTGTGTCCATTGAGGATTTGTATCCTATTGTTTATGATTAAAGCAAACAAATTTTAAATGTAATGTCAAATATAAACAGTACCCCATCTAAAATTAAATTAATCCAAACACGTTTGACTCATATTTTTTCCGGCTGTTTTCAGGCAACCAAACAGACAAAATACAATTGGGTTTTCCATTTTCTATTCAGCGAATTGATTGGAGGAATTCATTGAATAAACAAGCAAGAAAAGAAGCTAACACAACGTACCATTGGCTCGACTTCAATGAAGGCGGTGGAACGACGATTGACGGCTAGGGGCGGGAGAGGTAGAGGTGGAGCAGAGAGAGAGATATGATGAGGAGTGTAGAGCAGAGAGAGACAGAGAGAGAGTGATGATGAGAGGGAGTTGCGGCTAGGGTTGAAACGAAGGAAGAAGAGAGAGAGGCTCAAGCAAGGGAGAGAGAATGGAGTCCGTGAGTATTAGTTTTGGAGTCCAATCAGGTGTGCTAGGGTACATGGTACACTTTCAACTAACCACTCAAGCCTTGCCACATGTAAACTAAATTAAACAAATAATAAATTGATTTATAATCGGTCCGGTTTGGTTTAGGATAGTTTTCAAAACTCCCAAACCGCAGCCGAACCAAACCAAACCGGTTTGGATCGGTTTTTCAAACTGTTGACTTTTTCTTTGGTCAAAACCAAACCAAACCAAACCAATATAATCGGTTCGGCCGGTGTAACCGGATCGGCCGGATTGATGCCCACCCCTATTAAAAACCCTTTCATTAAATCCTGCAAATGATTTTGAAGTCCCTAATTTCCAACTTGGTTTTGTTGGGTTTTCGACGTCCCATAAAAGGAAATGAACTTATTCTTGTGAACTTGTCCTCAAACCAAGACTGTTCAAACCGCGGGAACACACCAACTTCTGAACCCCCATCACCAAATGACTAAACCAACCCCAACATCTTCTCTCCACACTCATCTCTGCATCCTGCTCTTCCTCCCCCTCCTCCTCATCAGCCATGCCAACTCTCAGTCATTGCAAGACCAAGAACAAGCTGTTCTGCTAAAACTAAAGTCATACTTGCAATCTCCACCGTTCCTCAGCCATTGGATTCCATCAACATCAAACACTTCCCACTGTTCCTGGCGGCCTCAGATCACCTGCACAAACAACTCCGTCACCGGATTGTCTCTGGTCAACACGAACATCACCCTACCAGTTCCACCTTTTATTTGTGATCTCAAGAACGTCACACTCATTGATCTCAGCTACAACTACTTTCCTGAAGAGTTCCCAAAAGCTCTCTACAACTGTTCAAAGCTACAGTACTTAGACCTCTCTCAAAACTACTTTGTTGGCAAGATTCCTGACGATATCGACAGCCTGCCTCGGCTTCAATACCTCAGCCTTGCCAATAACTACTTTTCTGGTGACATACCGGCGGCTATTGGGCGGTTACAAGAGCTCAGGAACCTGCAGCTGCTTTCGAACCACTTTACTGGTCCCGTGCCACCAGAAATAGGTAACTTGTCCAATCTTATAGACCTAAGTCTCTCTTACAATACAGATCTTGTGCCGTGGAACATGCCTTCAAATTTCACCCAGTTGAAAATTTTGAAGACTTTATGGATACGAGAATCAAATTTGATCGGACAGCTCCCGGGAACACTCGGGGAAATGGCAGCACTGGAAGAATTGGATTTGGCAAAGAACAGTTTGAATGGGACAATCCCACGTGGCTTGTTTCTGTTGAAGAATTTGAGTATAATCTATCTCTTCAGGAACAGCCTGTCCGGGGATTTACCTCAAATGGTTGAAGCATTGAACTTGCAAGTTATTGATCTTTCTGACAACCATTTAACAGGGCCAATACCAAAAGATTATGGAAAGCTTACCAAGTTAACAGGGTTAGCTTTGTTTTATAATGGTTTTTCTGGTGAGATTCCAGCAAGCATTAGCCATCTACCAAATCTCATAGATTTCAAAGTGTACGACAATAACTTGACAGGAACATTGCCTCCGGACTTTGGGAGGTATTCAGAGCTTGGAGGGTTCGAGGTTTCGGGGAATAGGCTCACTGGTAAACTGCCAGACCATTTGTGTTATTTGGGTAAGCTGGAAGGACTTGTAGCTCATGAGAACAATCTCACTGGGGAGTTACCAAGCTCTCTTGGAAATTGCACTAGTTTGGTGATAGTCAAGGTTAATGATAATGGGTTGTCTGGGGTGTCTTCCTGGACGAATTTGAAGGTTTTTGACGCCGGTAATAACCTTTTTAACGGTACTATCCCTCAGGAACTTACTGCTCTTCCTGGCTTAATCACTCTTTCTCTTGATCAGAATCAGCTTACTGGCTTCCTTCCATCAGAGATTATGTCATGGAAATCACTCAACACTCTTAATTTCAGTCGAAATCAACTCTCTGGACCAATTCCAGAGAAACTTGGTCTTCTACCAGTCCTTACTGAACTGGATCTTTCAGAAAACCAACTTTCTGGCCAAATTCCAGCTCTGCTTGGGCGTCTGAAGCTCAACCATTTCAATCTCTCTTCCAATCACCTATCTGGGAAGATCCCAATTAAATTTGAGAATCCTGTTTATGTCAAAAGCTTCTTGGACAATCGAGATCTCTGTGCAACTAGCCCATTAGCAAAACTCAAGATATGCAAGTCCAGCAAAATTTTGATCTTAACTTTCAGCATACTTTTGTCCTTTTTGGCTTTGTCCTTATCATTCTTCATGGTCAGAGCTTATTGGAAGAGAAACAGATCGGATTCTAATTGGCAGCTCACCGCATTTCAGAGGTTGAATTTCACAGTGTCAAAAATTATCTCTGGGGTTACAGAAAATAATCTGGTTGGAAGTGGAGGATCAGGAAAGGTTTATCGTGTTCCTGTGAATCGTACAGGTGACGTGGTTGCCGTGAAAAAGATTTGGAAAGATAAGAAGTTAGAAGAGAAGCTTGAAAAAGAATTTCTTACAGAAGTCAAGATATTGAGTTCCATTCGACATGCCAACATAGTGAAGCTGATGTGCTGTATATCCAAGGACAATTCAAAACTTCTTGTCTATGAGTACTCAGAGAATCGAAGCCTGGATCAATGGCTTCACAAGAGAAACAGGCCATCCAATCTCACGAGTTCAGTCCACCATGTTGTGTTGGACTGGCCTAAGAGGTTGCAGATTGCAGTGGGAGCTGCTCGGGGCCTCTGCTACATGCATCACGACTGTGTGCCACCCGTTGTGCATCGAGACATGAAATCGAGTAACATTTTGTTAGACTCTGATTTTAATGCAAAAATAGCTGATTTTGGTCTTGCCAAGATCTTGGTCAAGCAAGGAGAACTTGGTACAGTGTCAGCTGTTGCTGGCTCCTTCGGCTACATTGCTCCAGGTAAACACTACACCCCACAAATGTTGGAGTTAGCTCCTAAAGAAAGGTGTGTTATTTTTCCTCTGTTTCCGTTAGCAATCTCAGTCAACCGGGTTTTCTAACCTGAATGCAGAATATGCTCACACAACACGCGTGAACGAGAAGATTGATGTATATAGTTTTGGGGTCATCCTTCTGGAGTTGACCACCGGAAGGGAAGCTAATGACGGCGACGAACACACTTCTCTTGCTGAATGGGCGTGGCGCCACTTTCAAGAAGACAACCCTCTTGTCAATGCTCTGGACCAGGACATCAAAGAACCTTGTTACTTGGATGAAATGTGCTCCGTTTTCAAACTTGGCATCTATTGCACCGAGAGACTTCCTTCTGCTAGGCCTTCCATGAAGGAGGTTCTGCATATCTTGCTCCGATGCTCAACAAAAGTCACCCCACCATTGAGAAGATTTGGAGATGCAAGCAACTTAATTCCCTGAGAGTGCAACCAACAAAAGTAAACTACTCACAGTTTACATTTATGGCGCATAATGTATGTATCGAAGATAATTATTACGTACATTGAGTTGTTATTTTAATAGCACCAATCATGTATGAAAATTACAAAAGGAAGAATCAGAGAACAAGGAGTAGAAAAGATAACAATTCCAATTGCTTCAAAATTTAATTGATGGTATTCAGAACAAGGAAATAATAAAGGAAACAGATTCTCCCACTCTGGGTGTTACCTTGTTATCCAAGTTTTCACCCATAGCCGTTCCTAACCTTTACATATTAGCTAAGCGTTTAATTCATATGTTTTAGATAAAGGATCGATATGCCCTAACTTCACCCTTTCAGGGTATACTTCTTCCCTGTGAATGCTTGCAACTTTGGCTCTTCTGACCAAAATCCTATCCTTTCAGAATAAGGAAATCCTAATCTCACTGGGACAAACCTGAAATTGAAAATAAAATACATGGAATGAAACTAAAAACGAAGAGTAATGCTAGGGAGACCATCTTTTTGTACCACAATTGTATACCATCTGATGTGGAAGATGATGTGGCATGCCAAATCATTTAATACAATTACATATATTTTAAATTTTCATTCTCTCCTAATTAATGCACTGATCCCATAAAGTCTAAAAATGAGATGGAATCGCAACTAAAAAGATAACCCACAACAACTTCCCGGAAAATTCCCCGCCATGTTTTTCTTGTTTGGATGGGTTAATAATTTTGAAAACCCATCATGATCCCTTCTTTTAAAGACTTCAACAAGGAAAGGTAGTTGGGTTTTGATTCTAAATATTATATTTATTTCAGATTTACAAGAACACTATAGTTAGATTTTCTGAGGGAGTCCATGAAGATATAAAGTTTTTATCGGATTAGTTGCTTTTTCCACCACATTTTAGCAACTAGTTTTCTTTTTTGGCTGCGAAATTGACCACTAGTTGCAGGCCGTAAGAGACAAAGAACCAAAAATGGCAGCCAACATGAGGAAAGGGGTTGATACTGTGTTTAACACCCATGAAAAATCCGGCAATCATAAAATTGTTGTGGAGAAGACAGTGTAGGGAGAAGGAAGAAGAGAGAGTGAAGATAGAAAGACTCCTATCGGTAATTGTGCTGTAATTAGGGGAGAATAAAATAGATTTAGCTATATTTAATGACTTTTGTGCTTTAATTTGGGGAGAATAAAAATTTAAAATATATTGTAACTATATTAAATGATTGGCATGCCACATTATCTTCCACATCATATGGTATATAATTGTGGTACAAAAGAAATGGTCTCTCTGGCATTACCCAAAAAGGAATCCTAATCTCATTAAACTCGCACGTAACCGTAGCCGTTCATAATCCTTTACTTGTTAGCCAAGCATTGGATTATAGCCGCTCACTATCCTCGAGGATTTTGCCCAATTTGATAAGTAGCTACTCAACGGTGTGATACTAATTGATGCGGGGTGTGAAAACAAGTGCCCTTTTCTATATTTTATAATTTATAGAGATTTCCAATTCTTTTTGTTTCGGTCTGACCAAACATAGTCCTTTAAGCATAAGGAAATCCAATTTATATTAGGGGATTCTCTATTTTTATTTTAACTCAACAATAATAAAACAAAGTAGGAGCCAACGAGGTCTAGTCCAGTTGAAAAGGGCATTGACTTACTTACAAGTGGTCACAAGTTCAAACTATCATGACACTTTGGTAGTGTGTATGTGTGAGAAACTCCCTTCTCTTTGTAGCTAGGGCTCATCAATGGACTGGGCCAACTCAATCCAAAATTTACTAGGCTTGGGTCAGATTGGGCCGAACTTTAATGAAGAAAGAGAAAATAACGGACCGAATTGAACTGGGCTTAGACTATCACTTATATATATTTTTTTAAAGTAGGAAACTGAGGGGCCTAAGCAATCAAATCAATCAGTCAAGGCCCAAACTAATTTAGTGGGCTTCCTGTAGGTGAGTGGTGAGTGGTGAGTGGTGACTGAGTCAACAAACTTCATACAATATGAAAATAATTTTTCTGATTTCTTTTGGGGTAAATAACCTAGGTGAGTGGTGAGTGGTGACTGAGTCAACAAACTTCATACAATATGAAAATAATTTTTCTGATTTCTTTTGGGGTAAATAACAAACTTTATATTGGTGCTGCTCTGTGAAACATGTTTTCCGTGAACAAAATTGTGCTGCGAATGCCCTGGCTGTGAAGACTTATGATTTTGGTCTTGGCCTCCTTGTATTTTCGGAGGCTCCGGCTTTTCTTAGTGCTATGTTAGCTGCAGATGTTCAAGGTATTGCTAGACTTAGTTTCTTTTTGGTTTTGGGCTTTAGTCCCTGTCTGTACCAAAAAAACAAAAAAAACAAACTTTATACACTTTGAACCTGCACGTGCGAACATGATAATATCTAATTAATTAATATCTAAAGAACTTTGTGATTTTATTGAGATTTCAGCAAGGTCCTTCACGGTTGGTTTTTGACTCAAAAGGTCACAAGTGACACACATAAAGTTTTGAGTAGAAGAGAGGCCAAGATTGGTCAACAAAAAACTTGCGTTTCTTTTTTCCAGCATCTTGGTTGTTGGCCCTGCACTGCATCTGGATGCATACTGCTTTTCACTATCAGCTTCTAGAAGTAATGCAGCCCATATATTTGACAGACTACAAATCTATTTCCACCCAAACCCAGCCCACATGAATTGAAATTTTGTGCATCTTCTGGAACTGAAACAAACAAACGTGAGTGTGTTAGGACAACAACCCACCCACCTAGGTCCTTGCTTGTTTTCTAATTAATGCCATTTCGTCACACCTCTGCAACTTTTCTTGTGGAATTTTATTTTTCATTTTTCTCCCTCTCCTGTCTGTATCAGTGGAAAACCAGACGTGTTGCCGTTATTCTTCTTACACTTCATTGTGTTTCGATTGAAAATAATAATAATATGGGATCAAAGTCTCCCATTAAAAATTAAAAAGCAATAAATTAAGTCTTCATTCAACAATGGCGTTCTCTGTTCACACGTGACATTCCAGGAAGGAACTTTCAATGCCTTCTTGCCTTTCACGTACGTCACGTTTGGCTTTCAGCCTGCCTTGTTTTATTCGAAAACTTGCCTTATCTTCTGCAGACATTTGTGGCTTTAACAATATAATTTCTTCCAGTTTAAAACTTTGGCAAGGAAGGAAGGAGAGGATCTTAGCTGCCATAACCATAACATATATAGAATGTCAACTGGTATCAAGTAGCTCTTGGTCTAGTGCTACTTCTCTTCCCCGCATTGGATGAGGTACCAAGTTCGAAACCCCCGAACCCCATTTGATCAAAACAAAACAAAAAGTCAACTGGTTGGGCTCCTGATATAACTTGTTTCTTGTAAACAAACCTTTAAATATAATAAGTAAACAGCTAAGCTAACTGATAAGCACAATCCTCCACTAATTGGTGGTAGACTAAATGTTCTCGTTGACCATCATTTTCCAGGTCCTCCACTCAAATTGCCAAAAGCTTGCATTTCTTCGTGGTCCTGCAAATGGTTTTGAAGTTCCCTCTTTCCCACTTGGTGGTTTTCTTTCCTCCTAAAAGGAAATCAACTTCCTCTAACTTACTTGTCTTGTCCGCAAAACCTGAGCTCATGCCGCGGGAACAAACCAACTTCTGAACCTCCATCACCAAATGACTAAACCAACCCCAACATCTTCTCTCCACACCCATCTCTGCTTCCTTCTCTTCCTCCCCCTCCTCCTCATCAGCCATGCCAACTCTCAGTCATTGCAAGACCAGGAACAAGCTGTTCTGCTAAAACTAAAGTCATACTTGCAATCTCCACCGTTCCTCAGCCATTGGATTCCATCAACATCAAACACTTCCCACTGTTCCTGGCGGCCTCAGATCACCTGCACAAACAACTCCGTCACCGGATTGTCTCTGGTCAACAAAAACATCACCCTACCAGTTCCACCTTTCATTTGTGATCTCAAGAACCTCACACTCATTGATTTTAACCTCAACTCTCTCCCTGGAGAGTTCCCAAAAGCTCTCTACAACTGCTCAAAGCTACAGTACTTGAACCTCTCTCAAAACTCATTTGTTGGCAAGATTCCTGATGATATCGACAGCTTGCCTCGGCTTCAATACCTTGAGCTTGCCGGTAACTACTTTTCTGGTGACATACCCGCGGCTATTGGGCGGTTACAAGAGCTCAGGAACCTGCAGCTGCATATGAACAGCTTTAATGGTTCCGTGCCACCAGAAATAGGTAACTTGTCCAATCTTAAAGACCTAAATCTCTCTTACAATACAAATCTTGTGCCATGGAATCTGCCTTCCAATTTCACCAAGTTGAAAAACTTGAAGAATTTATATATACGCCAATCGAAATTGACTGGAGAACTCCCCGGAACACTTGGAGAAATGGCAGCACTGGAACAATTGGATTTGGCAGACAACAGTTTAAATGGGACAATCCCAAGTGGTTTGTTTCTGTTGAAGAATTTGAGTATAATCTATCTCTTCGACAACAGCCTGTCTGGGGATGTACCTCAAGTGGTTGAAGCATTGAACTTGAGAATTATTGATATTTCTAACAACAGTTTAACAGGGCCAATACCAGAAGATTATGGAAACCTTACCAAGTTAACAGAGTTAGCTTTGTTTTTTAATGGTTTTTCTGGTGCGGTTCCAGCAAGCATTGGCCGTCTACCAAATCTCAAACAGTTCAGTGTGTTCATCAATAATTTGTCTGGAACATTGCCTCCAGACTTTGGAAGGTATTCAGAGCTTGAAAGGTTCGAGGTTTCGGAGAATAGGCTCACTGGCAAACTGCCAGACCATTTGTGCTATTGCGGAAAGCTGTCAACACTTGTAGCTTATGAGAACAATCTCACTGGGGAGCTACCAAGCTCTCTTGGAAATTGCACTAGTTTAACAGAAGTGAAGGTTTATGATAATGGATTGTCTGGGAACATTCCTAGTGGCATGTGGA